AATTTTATTCTATTGTGCCATTTTTTTTTCTAAACAAACAAGCCTTTAGTTTTAGTCTGTAGAACCATACAATATGTACAACTATGATTGACAATTTTTGTTAACAAAATCTACAGTATTCATTTTAAAAATTATTTTTCCAATCAACCAAACAGATATTGACAATACATATATTGTCAATAAAAGTGATCAACAATCATTGTACAAATAATTTTATTCTAGTGTGCCATACCAAATGTGTCATTACCAAGCGGCACCCTTTTAGCACCAAAAAATTGAAAGGATCGAGACACCTTTAACGATATTTGACTCAACTGTCCTTAAACTTTGAAAAATCAAAATAGTACACTGGCATTTAACCATATATTTTTACTTATTTTTTAATCACACATTCTACAAAAATAATTATTACAAAACTTTTACCTTTTTTTTTTTCTTTCTGAAGGGCTCAAGCAAGCCCTTGACTGAAGTTAATGCCGAAGGTACAATCCGTCATGGCTTCCCCTGAGGCCAGCATGAATGTGTGATATGCTAAGCTCGACACATCAAGAAATAATTTAGCCTATTGACACATCCAAACTCTCTTGGGGAAGCAAAGCAGGACCATCCTTTTTAGACAGGTTGAGTCATATTTAGACGTTTTCAGTTTTCTTTAACAAAAAAATCATTCAAAATGGGCATAATGGTGATTTTACTCATTTCTCACGAATCTGCTAAGGGAAATTAAATTTGGGCGTCGGGTAGGTCAATCCGAGTATTTAAATAACCAGAACCATCCATTATGCTTCGAATATTTCGCAAATAGAACCATTCAGGTCTTTATAAATACTGGACCAAATCAAAACCCGAACCATCGGTTTCGATTCAATTTTGGTTCTACCCATAGTATTTTTATATGCATTTATTTAACAAATATTTCACATAGACCGTTTTGATATATATGCCTAATACGCCACTACTCGAAAATATTTGTGCAATGGAGGAAATTCAATTTAAAAATCTTCAAAGAGCAAAATATTGGATACTAGAAGCAACGAAAATAGGAGAAAATAAAATAAAAATAAAAAATGAAATTATAATTTGACAAAAAAATATTTTTCTTAATAAATCTTATTCGATCTATAAGAGAGGCATACTTGACATATAATTTAATTATAAACAATGCTTAAATTCTTCTACTTTTAAAACGAAATGATATATAAAAAATACTAATTAAATAAATAGCTAATATAGTATAAAAAAATTATGATCCACATATTGAACATTCTGTTTGAATAAAAAAATAAAACAATATATATTTAAAAGGAGAACCATGACTCAAGATAACAGAAAGGTCCAGCACAACACAAACAATGAATTTATCAAAAAATTATTCTATTTGTACAATGTTTTGTACAATTTGGTTGACAAAGGAGCCAAGTGGCGGCCCCCTATTGGAGAGGTTGCTGTCGCGGTTCTATATCAATTCAATTGCCATGCGTTATTTTATTTATTTATTATTATTATTTTTTTATTATAAAAATTGGTTTCACTCGAGTACCCACGGTTTTGGTTCAGGAACCAAGAATCGAACTGAACCCAGTTGGTTATTGGTTTCGGTTCCTAATTTATTTTTTTAGGAAATCGGACCGAAACCTCCGATTTTGGTTCAATTTCAATTCAAGAGATTCCGATTAAAATGTCTAGACCTATTGTTAACTATATTGCATTTAACAGTGACGAAGGTCCTCAACTTTCGTTCATATGTGTACTTATATTAACAACCTTTTTGTCACATTATTATCTTCAACTTTCGATTAATCACCATATATCATCTCTAATAATAATTTTCGTCCAAAACATGTGCTGGGAGGGCTTAACACATTTTACTTGCCTATCATTTTTTTTTTCAAAAAATAATAAATGCAAAAGAAAAGCAAAACATATTTTCCCATTTCAAAGGATGCATTAGAATATTTTGTCATGAACCATGACGAGGACGAGGTGTGTCAATTACTGGAAGGCTGAAGAAAAAAATTTGTTGAAAAAAATTGGAATAAAAATGTTACAATAAGCAAAGATTAATGAATATGAAGTCCTAAATTAAGGTGTCCAATTGAAATTTAATGAATTCTAATAGAATCGATTAAAATCGAAGGCCATGTTTGATTGGTTGTGCTTTTCCATGGAAAATGGAATTTGATCCCCATTTTCCAACTTTTGCATGTTTGATTTCCTAAATTTTACAGGGAAAACATTTTCTTGGGTTGGAATTGACGCGCCCCATTTCTTGGTTTTTGTGAATTCATTTTTTAGGCTGATGTAATTTTTTTTTCTTTTTTTTAACAATGGAGCCAAATTCTATGAACAATTATAAAAGAAGATATCCCTTAAATTGACAATTTATATGTAAAACAAAGTCAAACGAATATCAAAAAATACTTTCATTTCAACATTTTTCACGCGAAAAATTATACCAATCAAACACAATAATTTACAATTTCCAAAAAAATAATTTCTAGGTAATTCAATTCCCTGAAATTCATTTTTTTCCATCAAAATTTCATCTTTGTAATGAAACGGACCCTAAGTGTCTTCAATTGAAATTTCAATAAATTTCAACGAATTCTTTAAATATCATCAATAATTAGTGGATTTATAGGAATTTCATTAATAAAATTTTTTAAAAGATTTTTGATGGATTTCAAACTTATATATATATATATATATATAAAAGCTCTTTTAAAATTTCACAAATTTTAATGAAATTCATATATACTTCGTAAAAACCTATTCAAATCCATGAAATTCATTAAAATTTATAATCTTTTAAAAATTCATAAAAATTAGTCGAGGACCCTATGTAGTGTGAATATAGTTAATCCATCCACTAATCGTCCGTTCGAATTCATTCCTCAAGTGAAACCCTATCTTGATTGTGCAATATGTACATAATAATTTGCATACACTTGATAGTCAAAAAGCTAACTGGGAAGTTTTTTATTTGGTTGAAGAAATTATGATCCAATCATATCACTACATCATGTGTATGTGAACCATTTTGTACATATAACACAACCTAAAAAAATCTTTTATACTGTTCTTTTGACACCTCATATGTATGCAAATCATTATGTAACGAGTTTTGCTACATGTATAGAAAACATTTGACAGAATTTTTATAGAGCAACACTTGACAAAAATTCATTGATTTTGAACTGAACATGGGTAGCACCTTGTTGGCAGCACCTGTATGGTTTCTATGAATAATTCCCCGTACCCAAGAAATAATTCTTATGTAACTTCATTGAATGATACTATTTAGCCCCATTCAACCTTGCAAATTCATATCTAGTTCTATTTAGTCCCACTCGAATTATAACTGTACTCCGTGTGATGTTATGTGATAGATTAAATAAAATGTGAAATTAAATAATTTATTTAATTGTATTTATCATTAAATGTCATGTCAACGCTGATCAGGATTATAAGGATTAAATAGCATTACTCAAAAAAATATACTACCTTCATCCCAATTATATAGGCCGAGTTTCCTTTTTTCTATTGTTCCAAATATATAGGCTTATTTCATAATTTAGAATATCTTGTTTTATTCCCTTACCAATATAACCTTATTCAATTTTTTCCATTTAATATGCCAATTTTTGAAATCATCCAAATACACTCATTTCTCACTTCTTGAAAACATAAAATAACTCTCATTTCTTCCTCAAGTTAAATCATTCAAATTCTTTACTAATTTCAACAATAATTTATTGCTAAAAATTAAATAAAAATAAATTAGGAAAGATTTTAATGAAAATTAATTTTCCAATGAAACGAGCCAATATAACTGGGATGGGTAATTGGCACAAAACGTCCCTACCTTTCAAGTCTATTGTGGAAAACGTCCCTACCTTTCATTTTTTGGCATTTTTGCCCTCATTTCAACCTTTCTTTGCGCTGGACGTCCTTTCGTCCATATTTCGTCAGTTTTTCCGTTAAACATTCGGGTAATTAGCACAAAATGTCCCTACCTTTCAAGTTTATTGTAGAAAACGTCCCTACTTTTCATTTTTTGGCATTTTTGCCCTCATTTCAACCTTTCTTTGCGCTGGACGTCCTTCCGTCCATATTCCATCAGTTTTTCCGTTAATTAAATACAAAAATACCTTTTTCTTTCCATAAACAAGGGTAAAATTGTCCTCACCCACTTCACCCCTTTTTCCCGCCATCAACTTAGTTCATACGTAACAGTAGCAGCAACATGAATCTGAAAATACTTTAAATGATTAAGTTAAATAAAGAAAAAATATTGTGAACACATTATATTCCACAATTCCACAACTACTGTTGCTGTCATCTTGTGTCACTGGAAAAATTTAGAAAGACATATTAAATGGGTAGTCAATTTATAATGAGTCAATTTAAAATGAGCCATTCATCTTCTCCATTGAACCAAAAAGAGCCATTCACCATTTTGGCTCATTATAAATTGACTATCCATTTAATATGTCTTTCTAAAATTTTTCAGTGACACAAGATGACAGCAACAGTAGTTGTGAAATTGTGCAAAGGTATAATCTCATCCCCCCCCCCCTTCTTTTAGTTCTTTTGTTTTTAGGTGTCTATTCATAATATTGCATCCAATATTGTCTGTGATGCTCGTGATCAAGTGTATAATTGGTTTTAATTTTTGATTTTTTTGCAAAAAAATAAATTCGAAAATGGGAAAATCCATATAAAGATTACTTCGCAGAAAGTTTCTTATGGATTTTTTTTTTTTGTCATTTTGTTTTTGTGAAGGATCTTTAATAGGATATGGGGTAGAAAAGATTTTTGTTTCAATGGTTTCACGTGGAAATTAAGTTAGGAAATGACATTTAAGGAATTATGGAATTTTATTTTATTTTTAATTCTTGATGAAATTTCTGAAAAAAGAAAAAAAATTGTATTTTTAATTTTTCAATGTTGGTTCTGTGTGCTGTGGTTTGAATGAAGGTAAAAGAGAAAGGATATGAAAATTGATTGAATATGTGTTGATAGGGATCGTTGAATTTGATTTTGTGCAGAAATTCTGGTTAGATAAGAGAACTGGAAAGACTTGTATGTCAATATCTTCGAATGGGTTGGCGATTACAGGGATCGATGATCGGAGATACTGGAGTCGGATTCAGACTGAGGAATCGAGGTGAGATTCAATACTCTGCATATACTTCTGTAAGTTAAGATGAAATTGGAATTGGTTATTTGTTGATGCATATGTTTTAGATTGGCTGATCAAATCCAACTGTTTCTGGGCATTTTTCGATGAAATCTTCCAAAGAAAAGGTTATTTACTGTTCGTTTTCTTTCTACCGTTTTGTGATGCTCTGTTTCTGATGTTTTTGTTGTCAGTGTGTTGAATAGTGGTTTTGTGCATGTTTTGTTGGGATCTTAACTATGAGGATGGTTTCATTGAGTTTTGGAATCTATAATTTAGGTTCAGGAATTTACACATTATATAAAAGGACAGACTGGTTTTGATTGAATGCTTCTTTATATTTATTGATCTTGAGTTTTTAAAATGGGAACTGATCTTCATGATCTTCATGTATCCACTGGTTATTTTGTAGCAATGCATCATATTGTACCAAACTAGTAATACATGTGGAAAATAAACTTGATCCCAATTATCTGTTCTATACAGGTTCCATTCAGTTGCTTATCTGCAGCAAATCTGGTGGCTTGAAGTGGATGGCGAGGTCGAGTTTCCATTCCCAGCAGGGTCCTATAGCCTGTTTTTCCGACTGCAACTCGGACGTGCTTATAAGAGGTTCGGCCAAAGACTTTGCAACTCCGAACACGTTCATGGTTGGGATATAAAGCCAGTGCAACTCAAGCTCTCAACTTCAGATGGACAGCAAGCGACATCCCAGTTTTACTTGAAAGAACCTGGAAAATGGATTTACTATCATGCTGGGGATTTTTTTGTTGCGGATTCTGGCAAATCGACTAAAGTCAAATTTTCGATGACGCAAATCGATTGCACACACACTAAAGGTGGTCTTTGTGTAGATTCTGTAATAGTGTATCCTGGTGAGTTTGGAAAGAGGTTGCAGCGTTTTTAATTGCAGTAAACCTTCTTGGTCGGATGTAGGGGTTATAGCCTAGTTGAAACTCGAGTTCTTTGTGCAGACTATGTAATGTAAATCGTTTGTAATCGAGTTGTCAACCTTGGTAAAACTCTTGTTGCTCGGTCTAGTATTTTTTGGTTAATTGTACTAAACATGGCCTTCGGTGTTGGATAACGTAACTAATAATGGATTTATTTATTTATTTTCCTTTTTTTCCCCACTAAAGAAAAAGAAAGGGGGCCAAAGGGGGGCTATGATTCAGTAAATTTAGGAACTGTTATAGGGATTCAGTAAATTTAGGAACTGTTATAGGGCTATCATTCTCATTCTTCCAGCTGGGAACATTTGAAAGTTCGGTTGGGGATGGGGCGAGAGGTTGAGTACGGGGCAGGAGGAGGGCTACGGGCGTCAAAGGCGCAGTGCTCGTTGAAAGGCTCTTCCATTGTAGCGAGCCGTGCCTGGGCTGGACCTATGGGCACCATGCTCGGACAGTCCATTTTTTGAATTTGAACGAGTAAATACTATTTAGAACCTTTATTTTTTAATACCGATCTAAGTGGTGGCACCAAGAATTTATGATTCATTTATTTGGACTCATGATATATTGGCACTTGGACTCGTGTTGATATCACTATTTTTTGAATAATAGGATTTAAGTTTTATGTAACAAATTAATTTTTGTAGTTGAGATTTACGAGACTAGACTTTTTGTTAGAAAACTAGGGTCTAGTCCTCTAAATACTTTCTAGGGCAGTGCTATACAAATAGGGTCACATGGCCCCATTTTTGGATTATTCGGATTTGAGATTGGCTACAATATGTAGACGAAGTTAAAATTATGCACGAATGAAATAAATACAATTATAATTATAAATACTACCTTAATAGTCTTCAATCCCACATTTGAAAAGATGTCGGAAGGGCGCCTTCATTTTCTTGAAGCCATGTGATGCATCTCAGTCTAATATAGACCAATAATTGGATGTATTACCGACTTGAATGAGTTTAATATGCAAGCTAGAGGAGAATTAGTGTGGGTTCTTAGTTTAACTTTTACTCATTGACCTGTTGGTAGGGGTTTGGTAGTCAAGAGTGCCAAATCATTATAATTGGTTTTTTTATTACATGCCATGCAAATCATTTTGCTGTATTTAAAAAAAAAAAAAAAAAAGGTTGAACCCCAACCTTAAGGGCCCCCACCGACCCTGCCCTAAGCCATCGTGGAGGAGGTAAATCCCAGGATGTGCCTCCCAGGAGCCAGGGTGGAAAGCACATGGATAGGCCAAGGTTGTTAACCCATATGGTAACTCCCGCTTGCAACAAAGTCAATTCCACCTTGCAGGGAATCGAACTCTGCACACTACTGCGCTGAGCCCTATCCGCCCTCCCTTTTGCCACTGGGAGATATGCCCTGGGGGCATTTTGCTGTATTTAATAATTTTGGCTGCGGGTAGATATTGTTGTACTGCCAAGAGCAATAAAATTGGTAGAAAGAAAATAAATACAAAAATACACAAGATTTATAGATATTCGTTTCAATGTGAGATCATGACTTGCCGTTGCTACAATAATTCTTCCACCGTGACCATATGCAAAGGTGGATCCGCGTACTGACTCATCACAACGACAATAATCAAATTCCTCAACTTAACATATATAACTAACAAATAATTTCTAGGTCATTTGTGTTGCCAAGACTTGTTAGGTTTTTGGCTAGACTACTAAAAATCATGATCATATATTTATACAATAGACTGGTTTTTGTCTAAGTGAAAAAACAAGTTTTTTCTGTACCCACGAATATGGTGAAGTAGTAAAGTAGAAGGGTTATTTATGGAGTATCGGGGGTTCGAATCCTCGAGACAGCTAGAAGGCAACATTTATGTTGAAAGATAAATGTCATATGGAGACAATATTATGGTGCGCTTTGTCGTCCCTTCGGAGGATCTATCCGTACGTCATAAAGAAAAGTTCATAGGGATGAGAATCGCATTCCGAATATCTGGCCCAAGTGTGTATAAGTTGTGATTGCATCCTTATTTACCCAAGTGACAAATCAGAGAGGAAGGCCGCCACTTCTCAAAATTAATCAGGCAAAGCTAAGTCACAAAAAAAGGGGACCAAACCGTCATTGCTGCGTGGTATGTAAGAATAAATTGCAGCAGCATTGATAACCAATCAGTTTGAATATGATTTAAATAGCACTAAGTAGTATTAAAAATGAAAAAGAAGGTAAAATCATGTTTCATTACTAAATTTTTTAGTTGTATCAAGTACTGCGTGCTAAACATAGATTAAGTGATTGGGATTGTCCTGTTACATCCCTTTGTTTCTGTGTCGCCTTCGCGTGTCTAATTTAGTAAATAGATTGTTGGCCTCCCATCTTTGAATATTATGATCTTAGCTAATAAAACATGTGTACAGTTGAATATGACCTAACAGAACAAATAATTTTTTTTTTTAACTTTTTTTCTTCGTTAATATGTCTGGTACTACTACTATAATATAAAAGGAACACTAGGAGGAATTTTATTGCTACCGTACTTAAAGAAGATGACATGTATACTACATCACAAGATGTAGTGGCTGGAGAATTTGTAAATTTTTATACTTCTTTGTTGGGAAAGAAATGCTCTCTCGGCCTATTGACTTGGATATTTTTACAAATGGTCCATTGGTTTCCTTGGAACAAGGTAACACCTTGATTAGGGACATTTCCTATGAGGAAATTAAAGATGCGCTTTTTGATATTGGTAATGACAAATCTCCCGGGTCGGATGATTATACTTCTTGTTTCTTTAAGAATGCTTGAGAGATTATTGGTGATGATTTTGTTGGGGCTATATTGGAGTTCTTCTCTTCAAGTTGCAGCCTCAAATATATTAATCACACAGCAATTGCTTTGGTGCCTAAATCGGATCACACGCCGCATGTTGGTGATTTTAGGCCCATATCTTGTTGTAATGTTACTTACAAAGTGGTTGCTAAAATACTTGCTTCTAGATTGAGACCCATTTTGGGAGATATTGTTGATCATGCGCAAGCCGCTATTGTGGAAGGTAGAAGTATCATGGAGAACATTCATCTTGCCCAAGAACTCTTGAGGTAATACAATAGGAAAATGATTCCCCCACGATGCCTCTTAAAAACTGATCTTTCCAAGGCTTATGATTCGGTAAGTTGGGATTTCCTTAGAGATATTCTTTATGGCTTGCAATTTCCCTCGAGATTTGTCCATTGGATTATGGAATGTGTCACTTCTACATCATATTCTATTGCTTTGAATAGGACTTTGCATGAATTTTTCAAAGGTGAGAAAGGTCTTCGACAAGGTGACCCCCTTTCCCCATTTTTATTTGTGCTTTGTATTGAATACCTTTCGAGATTGCTTAAAGCTGCCACATATGATAGTGATTTCAACTTTCACCCAAAATGTGGTCTCCAAAAGATCAACCATTTAGTTTTTGTGGATGATTTAATGCTATTTGCGAGGGGAGATTTTATGTCTGTTAAAATTCTCATGGATTGCCTTTCAAATTTTGGTTCGGTCTCGGGATTAAGGTTGAATGTTCTCAAATCTAGCTTGTTTACAGCTGGTGTTCATGGACAGCTTCTTGAAGATATCATGGAATTAACTAGTGTTCCTAGGGGGAGTATGCCATTTCGGTATTTGGGTATCTCCCTTGCATCGGACAAACTTAAAGTAAGTGGTTATGCTCCTTTTCTTGACAAAATAACAACATATATTGGTGCATGAAATTTTTCTACATTATCTTATGCAGGCAAGATTGAACTTATAAGGACGGTTCTTCAAGGAGTTGAATGCTTTTGGCTCTCTATTTTCCCTATTTCGGCTACAATTATTTCTAGAATTGTTAGCCTTTGTCGGACATTCCTTTGGGGATCTAAAAAGCTGTTAGTTGCATGGAAGAATATTTGCCTTCCAAAGGAAGAAGGAGGCCTTGGATTAAAGGACTTGAAGAGTTGGAAATTAGCGTTACTTGCTAAATCCCTTTGGAATATTCACAATAAAAAGGACTCCCTATGAATTCGGTGGGTCCATCATGTTTATTTAAATGGGACTTGCATATGGAAGGTTTGTCCTAGAAAGGATCATTCTCCACTCTTCAAGAAACTTCTTGTAATTAAGGATATTCTTTGTGCAAATGCTGCTGCCCAACAGATTTTAATTCATGGACAACAAGGGGGAACGAGTCATATGGATGCTGGAAATGCCCCTTCATAGCAAGCTGTTAGTGGCCGAATTTATAGTGCTGGAAATGCACTAAATAGGCCGGTTAAGGGGCAGACCTGGGACGACAGTTTAGGCAGGCAGCTTCCTTCATTCGGTAGGCAGTTTCTGCAATTTTGGAATGAAAATCTGGGCTGTTCTACAAGTGGAAAATTCAATAAAAAAATTGCTATGATTTCTTTAGGCCTAAGGGTACTTTCAAGCCTTGGGGAGCTGAAGTTTGGAAAACATGCATCACTCCGAAGCATTCTTTTATGCTTTGGTTAGGGGCCCAATCAAAGCTCCTAACTAAAGACAAATTAATCTTCTTGGATATTGATCGCAAATGTGATTTTTGTGGCCATTTTGTGGAAATTTGTGAGCATCTTTTCTTTAAGTGTTCCTTCACATCTTCCTTATGGGGGAACATTAGGCGATGGCTTGGCATTACGAGATCTATGTCAACACTTGTTAGTGCTCTTAAGTGGTTGGAAAAGGAGGCCTGTGGAACTTCTTGGCTTAGTAAGGCGAAGAGGATTGCTCTTGCAAGTACCGTGTACTACGTTTGGCTTATAAGGAATAGGAAGATATTTGAAGACATCTCACTCGACTTGGATTCCATTGTGAGACGGATCAAAACACACGTATACAAAGTTATGTTTACCTTGTAGCCGAATGTCTCGATCCATTTCGAATCCTTGGCATTGGGTCATTGATTTCTTTTGTATTTCACTTACTTTTGTTATTCTCGGGGATGCCCAGTGTATTTATTTGTGATGTTTGATTGTGAATCTCCCGGAAATGCTCGGTGTACTTGTACATGACACGTTTTTGATTAATATATTTACATTTACTGATAAAAAAAAATCCTACCAAAAAGAGGTGAGCATGCATTATTTATCCTATGCCATCAAATAGAATAACTCCAAAGCACCATCTCAGCATCACTTTCCGAACCATCCCAACTGAAA